TATATATATATATATATATATATATATATATATATATATATATATATTTTCCATTTTTGCCCAGGAGAGCTAACACCTTTAGCTCTGTGCTCAGTGAAGCATGCACTAAGTTTTAAAACTTTGCAGTCAACTTCTTTGTTAAAACTCAAAACAAGATGCAGCTACGCAAAACTGTCACTTAAAGACAGTATTCTCAACAACGATGTGCACATTGCCAAACACTATAGATTTCCTACTCAAGGGATGTGTCCTCAGACTCCATACCATGCCTGTGTTGATCAAAGAGCACAATACACATTTCCCAGTGTCGTTTAGAAATCTCGTTATTTATACTGGAATAGATTGTGAAATCTGGTCACAGCATGCTACTCATAACCTTGGTATGATATTATCAAGATTCATAAATTACACAGCATTTAGATAAAAAATGCACATCTCAGAATTACTTATATGCCCCCAAGAGATTAATATTAAACACATCAGATTTGAAAGAGTAAAGAGAGAATGGGCGACAGTAACCCATCAAGGGCTTGCAGGCTTAATGGAGATAATTCCTCCTCAGTGCTAGGGCTTTGAACTTTGCTTAATGATGATTACAGATGAAAGAGAACCCAGCTTACCAAATTCCCCAAAGATTTACATATTAAATCACAAGCCAGCAGGTAGAATCCCGAAGTAGGGCAACTGAGTATGTCCTCAGCCTCCCCTTCCTCTGCCAAGGGCCCCTTTTCAGCCCATGCAGGTTCAAAGATTTTAAATCTGTCCTAAAATTTCCAAGTCCTGGCATTTCCTTTTCCTGGTTTCAGATGGTCCTTTTGATAATTTTTTTTTCCCTTAATACTTAAAAAACACCAAGTTTTCTGTTCTGTGTTAGGTAGCAATAACTAATAGAGACACAAAGCCTGCTGTCATTGTTTTAATGTGGGGGAAGGAGACCCCAGGGAACGTGAGCGTGAGCGTGTGTACCCCTTTGCCTTACAAAAGTACCTAAATCAGGAAAAGGGGGGCTGTACCCCAGTTAGCTTCTTCTTCCTATTCACCCTACACCAGAACCTGTTTTAATGGTGGACCTTGTTTTAATGTGGAGGAAGGAGACCCCAGGGAACAGCAAGTGAGAGCATCCACAGTCTACCTGCTAAGGGAACGAAGAAAGCGGAGAGCAGAAGGGAAGCCATGAGGGGACTCACTCTAAATGAAAGGCTAAGTGAAAGTACTACCTAAGAAGAATTTGAATAATTCCTGAACTAAAAGAGTGAGCCACGTGGGTGTGGAGGAGTAAGAGACTTCCAGGAAAAAGGGAAAAACACAAGCGTGGGAATGTGTGAAGACTCCAGGAGCCAAGGACCCTAGAGCAGGGTAAGAGGAGATCCTGACCTAGGAGGTGTCACAGGTCACAGGAACTCAAATGCTGACAGGCCACTGTAAGGATTTTGCTGAAGGAAATGATGTCATGCACACTCCAGTGATCCAGCAATAGGTAGTCCAGCCACTGGGTCCCCAGAAGTGTCAGTAGGGGCTGTGGGAAGTATGTGGAGCCCCCACGCACTTTAAACACAGAGGCTTCACCATGAGCTGATGGACCGGATTGGGGAAAGCCCCTACAAAGTCAGCCTTACTTCTCTTCTTTTTGTTAGATTCACTCATGTCTTCTGGAGAAACACAGCCTGTTTCTCTTGCTCTCTTTCATTCTCCCATACCCAGTATGCGATAGACCAGAATAAGGGTTTGTGAAGAATGAAGTATTTCTGGAGCTCCTTGGAGCTTTATACATACAAGGAAGGACAGAAGGGCATGGGTAGCCACACACAACGATCAAACGGTACAGAAATCTGTGGAATTGGAAAAAGAGAGGCTGCGTGAGGTTGTGAAGAGATCTCTAGTTATCACACTGACAGATTTGAAGGTCTGTGAGGGTACACGCCCACACCTCCTCTTAGTCAACATCTTAAAAAACCAGGAATTAACCAGATATCCTATCATGGTCAATGGAAGGGGAGCTTGCCTTACCTCTTTCCCTGGGTACAGACATGACTTCAGAATGAAGAAGATCAGAGGAGTGCTGTCTAGCAGAGGCTTTATAGCAAAAAGCAAAGGTGTACCGTGTCCTCTCCCTTAAGAGTTAGTCCATGTGCATCTGCCAATCTAACCCCCTGCACAGAAAATCATTCCCTCAGGGAACACTGACTCCTCTGGGGGCCTTAGGAATAGTATAAATCCTGCCTACAGTGTAGATCAGCCTGGTCTCTCCTGCCACTGTCTACCGTTACCCCTTCAGAGTGGGTTACTCTGTAATAACCCATGTCTTCCTTCTGCAATATTCTCTGACTCATTCGGATTCTTTCAACAAAGGTCACAAGAACCTTGGAGATGAGGGGAGTGCAGAGAGGTCCCCATGACAAGCTGAGGACAGCCACACTTTTAGTAGAGTCATCAAATCTATATTATTTGTCCAAATTATGAAGCAAATACTGCTTTAGGTGTTTGAAGTTTCCTTGGAAGGGAAGGCCTCCCAAGCAAGTACATTAAATCATGCCTTTGGTGTTGTTTTCTGGACAAACTGGCATGCAACCAGCACATTGGATGCACCTGACTGGGTTCCAGTCATTTAGGATAGGATTAGAGAGTCTGGCTTTAGAAAGCACATGAGGATTCTGTGGCTCACCACTGCTTTTCCACAGTATCTGTATAAGATAAGCCTTTTCAGTTCCCCAGCCAAGCCAGGTTCCTATACTGATGAGTCTCTACCAGTTTTACACAAAAGTCTAAAGGGCAATGACCCCCTGACCCAACTTTCTGTGTCCCAGTGGATAGTCCCACACCATGCCCGTATGGGCACCATTTCATGGACTTAGTAGATTAGAAGGGGGAAAAAAGATGTAAAATTGGGGTGGCGAGTCACATTATGCATGATGTGAGGGGAGTTGGACAAGGGAAATAGGGGTGGGTATTGTCAGGACGCAGTCCAAGAATGGCATTGCGTGAGAATCCTGATTGCTTTTGAGAAAACTCCGAAAAAATAAGCCGAGAGTCTCATGACCTCAGTTTCTTCAGAACACAGAATTGTTCGTGGAATGTGCTTTCATGCCTCTCCCAGGTGCGGTGCATGGGAGAGAGTTTACTTCAGCAGCTCTTATCCACGAGGCTTTGTCCTTGTGATTGAAAACCATCCTCATGCAACTCTTCTTAACCCTCAGGGTATAAGCTGTCTGATGCTCTGAAAAAAAAAAAGCTGGCTAGACTGTCAACGTTAGTCCTCATCATTTTCAGGCCCCTTTCTCCCAGGCCCATGCCACCGATTAGAGCAAATAACAGTTATAACTGTGTTTCACTGGGTGTGTGCATGAAAGTCTCAAGAGCAAAGAAAAACCATTTTAAAAGACCAAGAAACCAGAGGAACAGTTTTGCATTAACCATGTTTTAAACAATCAGTAAGCAAATATATTCCATTATGATGTTTGTTTCCAACACACACATACACACACACACACACACACACACACACACACACACTCAGGACCTTTGTCAATCATTTGGATGTGTTTTCCCAGCAAGTCCAAGTGACCTCCTTCCAAGCCAAGGCCTGGAGAGCTGCAGCCTCCGGCCAGCCCTTACCTTGTGGTAACACCTGAAGTAAGCAGCACGCTCATCTGAGAACTTCTCCAGTCTCTTTGGGCCCTTGCTTGAAGCTTTCTTGAACACTAACCAGCATCGTTGATAAATCTAGAAGGAAATGCATCAACAGTTCAACCACCTCAGACACGACTGCTTCTGACACCTGCATTTAAACATTTCCCTTCTGGTGTTTCCACCCGTGAAATAGTCACACACTGGAAATAGGATGTTGGTTTTGGAAAGTAAGAGCCCAGGGGAAATGGGCAAACTGCATGTTTCAGACAATTACTGGAATCAAAACAGGGGAGTACGTGAGGGGAGATTTCTCCATGTTTTGATATAGATCACTATTATATTTCAGGGAAAAGTTCCAGAAATAAAAATCCGGTAGTACCTGGCAGATGGGTAAAGACGTTGGCCTTACTACTGTCTGAAACCTTGGGGTATACCATCCCTCCACCTGCCACAGTGACTTAACCTCCATTAGTTGTCTCATTTCAGGTGGGATAAGGAGGTGAACACACTCTTCTCTGAAGCTCGGGTCGGAAGACAGAACCTAATGAATGTCTGATGCCTCTGGATGTATAGTAAGATGTTAACTATTTAGTCATAACGACAAGAGTTAGAAACGATTCCGTCTTCAGGAATAAGGAGTGGCAAAGTTATCATGCTCCTGTCATGGGTAATTTAGCCCACTTTGCTCATCTAGATGAAGGTAGACATACTGGCCTCTAGGAAGAAACCTATCCTGCTGTTTCCCTAAACGGTCAGTTGTCAAGGCGTTTCTAAAAGTTTATAGTTATACTCCTAGAGCTGGGTTTCTCTGCCGTGAAGAACAACGCGACAGGCCTAAGTGGTCACAGTGCCGAGACGAAGAGACGACCTCTGTATCACTTGTCCCGCCCCAACAGGGCTCAGGGACATGTTGGAAGAGGGGGTGGGTGGAAAGACTGTAGGAGCTGAAGGATGGAAGGAGTGCTGTGAGTGCTGTCCTCTGGACATGACATCGCTGCTGCATTCACGAGCTCGCAGCAGCTGTCGTCACCTGCATGAGCCTTGCCCAAGATCGAGCCAGCAAGGCCTGTTGACAGTCTAGCTTATATCGCTAACTGGTCTCAGAGGGTTACAAAAAATGAGGAGGGAACGTGAAGGTGGGTGGAGGATGAGGATAAATATGGTCAAGATTCATTCTATACATGTATGGAATTGTCTCGAAATAGTAAAAACGAAGGCAGCCACAGCATCGCACAAGTGTGGTACATATTAAGACACACGATACATGTCTCTCACATGTAATGCATGGTATACATATATAAGAAAATGCATCCTCATTGCATTAGAAACTTCGTCAGTATAGACACGACACACGGTGTATTATAGCAAATTGCGCCACGCTTGCAATGCACGTGTGGTCTAGGAGCGGATAGCATTGGTAGCTCTCACTTGAACCAAATATTAGAAAAAATTTGTAATGCCATGGAAAATGTCTGTAACATGTTACAGCAGTGACAGAGTAAAACCTCAGTGTCATGATCGTTATTATCTCAAAATGCATCATAAAAAGACAAAGGAATGTTTAACAATGTTTTCTGTAGCTCACAAGAATAGGTTTGGGGGTTTTATTGGCTTAATAAAATTTAATATGCTACTTAAATCAATAGTATGTGTTATTTATTGTTAATGTATGCATGTATGTACAGATGCACACGCCTGTGTGTGTGTGTGCACGTGGAGGCTGGAGGGCAATCCTTGGTGTTACACACTTTCTTTGAGACACAGTTTCTAGATGGCCTGAAACTCACAGTTTATGCTAGACTGGATATGAACTTGGAGTCTGCCTGCCTCTGTCTCCCCGACACTGTGATTACAAGCACACATGTGAGCACAGGATGTGAAGAATTTGCCTAAGCAACACACCTCTGATGTTGAGAAAATGGTCACACCACAGTTTTCCCGAAGGCTGGGAAGGGAAGTGATGCCATTACCCTTGGAGAGCTAGTGCTTGGCTGACAGGGCCACCCTCATCCTCCCAGACTTAGAATTTTTTTACTCCTCAAGTACCCAGAAGAATTAATAAAAGGCAAGTCAGTTCTATCAGCTTTCATCTTGCGTAGCTTTAATCTTCCAAGGGATACAAGACATGAAAATAAACTGAAACAACAACTCAGTAGAATAAAACAACCTTTCAACAAATGGTATAGGGCAATTGGACATCCACAGGGAGAGAGGAGAGAGAAAAAGCACAGGAAGAGAAGGAGGAAGAGAGCAAAGAACAAATGATCTTAACTAAGCATTAAAACACTCCATACAAAAACTAGCTGAAAGCAGATTTACAAATAAAATTATAAGCTCTTAAAATATTTTTATTATATATAATGATGAGTGTAAGTCACACGGAATACTACTTAACTAGGAAAAGAATGGCCTCTTGCTACGAGTAACAGCTTGGCTGAATCTCCAGAGAATGAGGCTCCATAACAAAACAAAGCAGGCTGGGGAGGTGCCTCATTGGCCAAGAGTACGTTCACACTTTTAGTGCAAGGACTGGGGGTCTGAGTTCGAATCCCCAGCATCCATGTAAACTTTTTGGTGTGGCATCATGGTGTCTGTAACCCCAGTGCTGTTGGGGGTGAAGGCAGCAGGATTGCTGGTGGCTTCCCCCACTTCGAGTTCTGTGGAAGATGCTCCCTCAAGGGCACGATGCAGAGACAGGTCAGGGCAGCCACCTTCACCCTCTGGCTTCAGACATGCACACGAGTACACACATGTACATATATTATACACACCCACAGAGGGAGAGAGAGAGAGGGAGGGAGAGAGACACACAGAGGGAGAGAGACACAAGTCATACTGACACTTCACACTCAGCTGGAACCCAAGACCTCATGCACGCTAGGCAAATATCCTACCAGACAGCTGTTTCTACATCGCAGCCCACATTCTCAACACAAAACTATAGAGCTAGGGAGCAGTGGTAGTTGTTGTTGGAGGGAAGGGACAGGAGGTGAAGGGAAGTTGGTGGGCTTTCATGGGCTCCATGGGGTTCTGGTAGTAAGGGATCGTTCTGTATTTTGATTGTATCAATGTCAGCTGCTTCTTTATATTTTTTTTCTGTATTGGGGGAGGAGTTTATTACCCGGGAAACTAGGCAATAGGAAAGGATCTTTGTGTGATATAAATCTACAACTGAAGGTACATCCACAACCACCTCAAAAGTAGAATGCTGCCAGACACGCTAACATACACGTTTGATCCCAGTCATGGGGAGGCAGAGGCAGGCAGATCTCTGTGAACTCCAGGCCAGCCTGGTCCACTTAGGGAGTTCCAGGCCAACAGGAATACGTACTGAGGTCCCGAGTCAAAACAAAATGTTTGATTACGAAATGATCAATGTAAGAATGTTTATAGCACAATATCAACCGAATAGCTGTTATCTACACTCCTCTCCAGTCCTCCTCTGACTCCACCTCTGCACCCTCTCTTTCTGGCCATTAAATCACAGTCTAATAAAGTACTAAATAACCATAAGAAGAAGACAAGTTAAAGCGACAGGTAAGATTTGTGCACAAAAGTTCTCCTCGGGGTGGGGAGCCACCACCGGTAAAGATTAGTATTCTGAACTGTTGGCAGAAAGTCCTATCAACATCCCGCATGTGTCTGAAGAGCAGATGAGTCAATTGGCTCCATAAAATTGTACCCAAGGACTGTAATTTCAGCGGCAATGACTGTCACTCGCTTGTTCAAATCAAGCGTGTGGAAAAGGTTTCTTACTGTCTTTCTATTATTGGAAACCTGTTTTTTTGCACATGCCTTTGAAATGGGCTCAGAAATTGAACATTCTAGAGGGCATGTAAAAATAAAAATAAAAATACTCCCGCTGCAAGAAAAGATACTTCCAGTAAGAGGGATATTTTCAATTCCCTAAGTATGTCTCCACTTTTCAGACCCACTTTTTTTTAATGAGAGCATTTTTAACTTTTGGAGATCTGTTCATTTTCTTCTCAGTTGGACCAGGTTTTGCCTGGCTCCCTTCCAAAGACTGATGCATGCAAGCCAGAGATCCCTCTTTTTCCAGCATGTCTAATGAGTGCCATCTTTGATCCATCTGTATGAAGTTTAGGGAGCTTTTGTTTCTCACTGTGTGCCTCTCTCTTTGTTTTATTAAACACCGAGGCACAAAAGTTCAATATTATAGCAATATAACAACATGAACAAAGTTCTATAAGTCATACGTGGGGGCTGGAGAAACGTCTCAGAGGTTAAGAGCACTTGCTGCTCTTGCAGAGAACCAAGTTCAGTTCCCGGCATCCACATTGGGTGGTTCACAACAGCCTATAATGCCAGCGCCACTGTATTTGTCGCCCCCTTCTGGCCTCCTTAGGAATTGCACCATTTGCATATACCCAACACAGAGAAACATACATACACAGTTTTTTGTTTTGTTTTGTTTTTAAATAAAATATTAAAAAAAAAGAAAGAAAGAAAAAGAAAGTCAGTGCAGCCTAGCTGTAAAATAACTGTGAAAGGGGTTAAGATGAATTTGTCATTCAGGTAGTGAGAACAGTCTGTCTGTGACATAAGAGAGCAGATGTGGATGATGAATTTCACCCTGCAAACATCCAATCTGCAACTAAACAGAACAGAATGGCAACAGGGTGAAGCCATTCCAGATCGTTCCTCTGTTCTACATCCATCACCCACCAGTGGCTCCAAGTGTGGCCCAGGCGCATTCATAATAACCCTTAACTACACAGAGTCCTAGAGATGAGACAAAGGCTGCTAATCAACTGTGACGAGGCCATTGTACATTCACCCTCCTGTGTACACCCCACACTCCTACTTTTTAATTTCAGGCAAATGCCTTGAGTTATTTGTAATGTTCTCTCAGACGGTGTAGTGCTTTCTTTACACCTGGGACTGACAACGTGAATTTTCCAAGAAGGGTTGCTGCTGGCAGGTTGGCTCATGGAGTGGAGGACCTTGATGCGAGCTTTGACCACTTGGAGCAGCATGGGGTAAGAAGAGAACAGAGCCCTGAAAGGTTTCCTCTGACCCCTTGGTGTAAGCTATACCCCACCAATAAATAAATATACGAATAAATTAAAAAC